CAGGCAGATTAGCTGATGTAAATCCTGACATTTCTCTTTGCTCTACCGTATATACTAAACTGCAGAGCCATACAGAAGTCTCATGGGTCTATTCCATAAACCAAGGAGCTACACAAAAAGCATCATCACCCATAACAACCATTCAGAATTCCTCATTACTAATATGGGTCTAGTACTTACAAATATGATGTTACTATGTTTTGCATTGATGCCGAAGACTCTTATATCTTAATAAGGAGTTACCATTTATTGTTCCATAAATAGTTATCACTGTTTTGGTTCGCTGGCCAATGCATTACTTTACATTGCCATATAAAGAATAAAACGTGCTGAGGATTCTGTATTATCAGTGATAATATTTATGTGAGTCATTTCTCTAAATCCCTGGTGCCCAGCCTGTAGCCCAGGGGCCACATGCGGCCCTTTCGCACTTGCAGTTTGTGTGCTTACTGAGACCACTGAAGGAAAAATATTCTTGAGACAGGCTTTTAGTAGTTAAATGATTTGGTTTATTTCTTTCACACTGTCTTACTTTTTCTGTGTGGTCCATCCATTTCTTTTTATGTAATTTGCAAAGATAAATGTCAAAAGTGATGCATGTCATTGTAAAGGGGAATGAAGGGAGAAAAAAATGTGGAAGCATTGATTTGTAAAGGAATGGTAACAGGAATAATCTTAAGCACTCCCATGTAATATTACTCCAGTCTACAACTATTTAACAGAGCATATCCCCAGGCTCCAACAACCCCTATAGCAGGAGTAGGCAACCTTGGTGCTCCAGCTGTGGTGAAACTACAAATCCCATCATGCCCCTGCCGTTGGGTGTTATGCCTTTGGCTGTCTGAGTTTTTCAATAGTTGCACAACAGATGGGTTGCCAAGTTTGCCTACCCCTGCCTTGTAGCATGTTCCTAATCACTAACCATCTCATGTTGCAGGTTTGCAGTTTCTGGCCATATTCTGCTCCATGTCTGCCATCTGTGACCATCTCCTGCTGCATGCCTGCAGTCTTTGGCCACCTCTTGTAGCAAGTCTGCCATTTTTCACCATCTCCTGCTGCATGCCTGCTGCCTTTGGCCATCTCCTGCTGCATATCTGCAGCCTCTGACCATCTCCTTCAACATATCTGCAGTCACTGGCCACCCCTTGTAGCAAGTCTGCAGTCTCTGACTATCTGCTGCTACATATCTGCAGTCACTGGTCCCGCCTTGTAGAAAGTCTGCAGTCTCTGACCATCTCCTGCTATATATTTGCATTTTCTGACCGTCTCCTGCTACATATCTAAAAAATCTCTGTCCAGCTATTATAGCAAGTCTGCAGTCTCTTGCTACATGTCTGCAGTCTCTGACCATCTCCTGCTACATATCTGCAGTCTCTGACCAGCCCCTGCTACATATCTGCAGTCTCTAACCATCTCCTTCTACATATCTGCAGTCACTGCCACCTCTTGTAGCAAGTCTGCAGTCTCTGACCATCTCCTGTACATATCTGCATTATCTGACCATCTCCTGCTACATATCTAAAAAAAAATCTGTGAACAGCTATTGTAGCAAGTCTGCAGTCTCTGACAATCTCTTGCTACATATCTGCAGTCTCTGACCATCTCCTGCTACATATCTGCATTCTCTGACCATCTCCTGCTACATGTCTTCAGTCTCTGGCCATCTCTTGCAGCATACCCATAGTCTTCCTTTTATCATTGCACTCACTGAATATTATGTGGGGCCCTGCAACTCCCTATAACAGGAAAGTTGACCAACACCGATTTAAACAATTGAAATGTCAAATTTGTTTTCATTTAGAAAAAAATTGCATTTAAAAAAAAGAAATCCTTATGAAAAAACAAACAAACAAACAAGGGATTCACACTTCAGCTGACAGGAATAAGTCAAGCACAGAGCTGCAACAAACAACCTAAACAGTGCTACACACAGGAGGCAAAGACATGATGTAAATTAAAAAAAGGTCTGTGGCTACAAAACACAGGATAATTGTAAACAAGCCAATTGCCCTACGTCTAGTCTAGGATTACACACAAATATTTTCTGCATGTCATCCTAGCAGTAAGATAATCCGGGTTCCATGTCTCACTTATTAAAAGGACAATGTTTATGGCGTGTGTGGTTCATGATATGCTACCCCACAGCGAGCCATCCTCCCGACTTGTCCACCCCAAATGCATCACACATGTAAGCCTCCTTCAACGAAACCCACTCCCAGCTTTCTACCATTCGCCTTTTTGCCCCCGAAAGGTCAGCTAATAATGATGTGGATTTCACAGGTTAATAGGTGAGCAGAGATTTTCTTTTCTTGTTTCAAATAAAACCTCTGTCTTTAAGTGTAAGCTAAAGCTGACTTATCAATGAGGAGCCTGGGGCGGAAAGCGAAGCAAAGGGGGCCAGCTTATCATTTGTGAAACCATCCTTTCTCGGGTCTTTTATTACTTCAGCATGCCGTGACAGACCTCTCGAGGTGGCGTTTGTCACTCTAATGCCCAACAGGTGCCAGTCACTTCCACATGACAATCACTGGCTAAAAACTCTACAGCAGACAAAATAAACAAATACATAGCACAGCATAAACAAACGTGGGGCAACCTTCTATGGTCTACATGTCTTCTTTTAGAAAAGTAACAATCAGGGAAAACAAAAACAAATTTTCAATGGAATGTCATTTGTAAATAACACTTTTCAACAATGATCTGAAGGTGACTTGCCAAAGAGGAAAACTTTAAGCCAGACCAACTAGCTAGTTCACTCTTAAGGACCAAGTTTTAGGAAGAGATCATGAGGGCTTGTTCACACCAGAATGTATGCTGGTTAGCACACATTGTATAGAACGTACAAGTTATCACACATTGTGAAGAACACGAGTTAGCATGCATTGCGTAGAATGTATGAGTTCGCAGGCATTGTGTGGAACGTACAAGTTATCACGCATGGTGTGGAACATACGAGTTAGCATGCATTGTGTAGAACGTATGAGTAAGCACACATTGTGTAGAACGTACAAGTTAGCATGCATTCTGTAGAACGTACGAGTTAGCACACATTGTGTAGAATGTATGAGTAAGCTCACATTGTGTAGAACGCACGAGTTAGCATGCATGGTGTGGAACATACGAGTTAGCATGCATTGTGTAGAACGTATGAGTAAGCACACATTGTGTAGAACGTATGAGTTAGCATGCACTGTGTAGAACGTACGAGTAAGCATGCATTGTGTAGAACGTACAAGTTAGCACACATTGTGTAGAATGTATGAGTAAGCTCACATTGTGTAGAACGCACGAGTTAGCATGCATTGTGTAGAACGTATGAGTTAGCACGCATTGTGTAGAACGTATGAGTTAGCACGCATTGTGTGGAACGTACGAGTTAGCATGCATTGTGTAGAGCGTATGAGTAAGCACACATTGTGTGGAACGTATAAGTAAGCACACATTGTGTGGAACGTATGAGTAAGCACACATTGTGTTGAATGTATGAGTAAGCACACATTGTGTAGAATGTATGAGTTTGGTTAAACCACCCAAAATGCAGCCTGCAAGAGTTTAAATACATCGGTGTGGACAAGTCCTACTAAAAAACGTAGTGTTCCTTGAGGCAAAGTACAGCAACATGCATAGCAATGCATCTGGTGTGAATAAGCCCAAATAACAAATTACTGACTTTCTGGACTACCATAAATTACCCACCTTTTAGAAAATGACCCCCTACCATACCAGGTCCAAGAACTTCCACTCATCATTGTAGAAATATGATTTTCTAAACCTTTCAGTCTACAAAAAAACTTTTCCTAATGCCAACGGCAGGTTTATTAGATGTAAGGGGAATGAGAATCCCATCATAACAACAGTCCCACATGGTCAGGTCCAGCAGAACAGAAATGTATGTTATCTATAACAGACTGTCTTTACACAGCAGACTATGAACTAACCCTGAACAACGTCAATGACCAGCTGGAAGTCATAAAAGAAACTAAAACCTACTTCTGTAATAATGTTTATTATCTGCTGTATAATACTAGATCATTATGCAGCAATATTATGATGACAAGATATCAAGTCTACTCTAATAGCTTAACCCAGCGAACTAAACAGGTAGCTTTTACTACAAAGTACATATTTTATCCCTTCAAGTACTGGATCAAGAAGAACTATGAAGGTTCTTCTTGCTCCAGTTAATAATATAATGCAGTGCTATTAGTTAGCTTCAAGTGGACTTGGTTTGGTAATGTTGAAAACGTTTCATCCAAGTAGCTTCCTCATCTCACATGAGTTTTAGAAGCCCAGTGTTTATAGCCACACGGTTACATCAGTCACCTTAATCGAATCACCATGTAATTTGTCAAGGCAGCCTGCGTTATCCATGTGGCTATGAACGTAATGTATGTTCCTAGCACTCATCTGAGCTGAGGAAGCTACTTCGAATAGCGTCCAAACATCTTCATGAACAAGTCTAGTTGTACCTGACCAACTACTAGAAGCTATGTGAAGACAACCTTGGAAATGATTATCATTGGGATGGATCTATGACTGCTTAACTCTGGAGTGAGCACAAACCTCTGCTAGATCAGGGCTTGCAGAAGAAGCTCAGGGCTTGCAGAAAAAGATCGGGGCTTACAGGAGAAGATCAGAACTTACAGAAGAGCTTAGTATGAAGATATATCAGCTGGCCATTCTACTGATGTATGTTTAAATACCAGGCTACCCTGACAGATGGTCACCTATTTAGCCTCAATTCAAAAAGTAATTCATCAGGATGAAAATCTTTATTTAAAAAAGTGATGTTTTTTTTTTATAGTCCAACCACATTTTAAAAATAGCCACATGGCTCAAATAAAGCTCCTTATGCTAAAGCTTTGTGAACTGAATTCTCTATTACTGATTATCAACACTGGAACTCTGTCATCACAACTAAGCAGTAGCCAAGAGACATCAGAGTTCTCTAAAAACCTGACTTGGATGGGCTGTGAACTTGCCACACACAGACGTCCTACCTGGAAGTGTTTGAAGAATGCAGAGATGCGAGTGATGTGCAGACTCAGACACCTGGACGTACATCTGGCTCTATAAACGCTCATCGTGGAGAACGACTCATCCTGCTTGCGAGGAGAAGCGCCACCAGCAGCAGCAGAGTTGCTGGCAATCAGGCTGCCCCACAGCAACATAATCCACAAGGAAAGGGGCATAGGAGAGCCGCGATCCTTCCGCAACATCTTGTACAGGAGATGAATGAAGGAGCCTGTCTGCGCTCAGCACGCTCACTGTGATGGGGACCTAAGGGATGGGAGCCGCACAAACTAGAAAAGAAAGTTCACTCATTCAACTCTATTTGGTTTGAGCCCTTCCACTCCCCCTCCTCTTACTGCTGCTTCTCACCACTCCTCTCCAAGCAGCTGCACCTCCTGGGGGCGGAACTAGTCTGACAGCGGACGCTCTGATTGGCGGAGAGAAGGACGTGATTGACACCACCTTGGACCGTCTCAAGGAGGGTGAGCGCTATTCAATCAGACAGATGACAAAAAAGTGAAAAGATGCCGAGTGTGGTGTGTGCTACGTGAAAGTGAAGGCTGGGGAGAAAGGACATGTCACAGCTATACTATATATATCTATATCTATCAATAGATATAGAAGCAGGACCATGGTTGCAGTGTGCCTGCCGCACTCTTTCTGGCAAGAGCGCCCCAGCTGTGAGCAAGGTGGGGAGATGTGTAAGGGCTGTACACATCTCCCTGCCAGTGCCCAGCTCTTAGCATCCTGGGTCATTCTTCCCGCAATCCAACCTAACTCCTGGCTACCAGTGACGTCGCCAGGAGCTTGGTGGGACGCCCATGTTTCTAACTGCTGGGAGGGGAGATGCAGAGCCCTTATATATCTCACCACTCGGCTCTTAGCTGCGTCGCTCTGCACCAGCACTCCCCCACACAACGCGCATGCACCATTCAGCACAACCCCCCCACCCCCTCCAACCACTGACACCAACCTAAGGGGATAATAAGGCTAGGGACACCCCTGCACATAAGTACAATGCGCTTTCTGTTTTAAAGACCATTTCCAACCAAGCTGAAAAGCTACCCTTGCAGTGCGACTACCCCCACATTGTAAGGGTTATGATGAGGGGATTGGAGTAAAGCACTTTCACTTACCTGATCCCAGCTCCCCTTCAGTCAACTTTCACCTCTCTCCCCTTCACTCTGGCTGGCAGAATGTCCATAGGTGTCCTCACATCCAACTCAAGTCTATGGAAATTAGACGTAATGATGTAATCAACCTCAGGAAGAGAGAAGAGCAGCCCAGAGGAAGCCATCAGGGGTGGGGATCATGTAAGTAAAACAGCCGTTTCCTGTCCCCTAGGCATTAAAGAACTCTGGGTAATTTTTTTCAACCTTTGCAGTAGGGCTATCCCTACACTGCAAGGGTTAACTGATCATTTTGGACTGAGCAGGAAAATAAAAATGTTATACTCACCCAATTCCTTCAAACCGGCTTGCTCTTAGAGCGGTCCTTCCAGCCTCACTCCCCCTTCAATCCAGCGGTCTAAGGATCCTTGAGTCATCACATTCTATACACCACGTATAGGACATTAAAATTAAATATGTTCTCTTTGGAGGTTAGGAGATTAAGGGATGACATGATTTTCTTGTATAAACTGTTCAAGGGTGACAGCAACATTACTAACAAACTCTTTACGTTTAGCTCCGTAACAAAGACCAGAGGGCACCACCAAAAATTGGTGGAAACAAAATTTCAACACATAGGACGCAAGGGGTTCTTCACAGTTAGAGCGGTTAAGGTCTGGAATTCGCTGCTGCAGGAAGTGATTTCAGCTAAGAATGTGGAATCATTCAAGAAACTTCCGGACGAGTTCCTTGGAGACCGTAACATACATGGGTACTAGTACTCCTAGGAGCAAAATCACACACGGACTCATACACACGCACACACCAGCTCAAACATAAATGCATACACGCAATAGGTTGGACTTGATGGACTTATGTCTTTATTCAACCTCAAATATGTAACTATGACATGAGGACACAGAGGGACATAGCATCTCTGCAGCCGAGGAGGAGACAGGCTGGAGGGAGTGGTGTGTCAGCTGGCCAGCTTGGAGGATCGGGTGAGTATAACTTTGTAATTTTCCTCCCTAGACCAAAATGAGCAGGTAACCCTTGCAGGGTAGGGGTAGCCCCACTGCAAGGGTTAATACAAATTTTGCCTGGAGTTCTGCTTTAATGAGCACGTAACCCTTGCAGTGTGAAGGCAAACCCACTGCAACTGTAGTTTTTTTTTGGTTGCCTTGAGGCTTTATTGTTCTATGCACTGATTAGAGGACTTTTTTGATTGCTTTAGTCCCTACTCACTGTAACCTGTTTGGTTATACCATCCTGTCAGGTCCCAAGCCCTACTTCATAGAAGCCATGGTTTTAATACATTGCACCAATTATGGCAAGATATACTGAAACAACTGTATGCAGTCTGGAAGAAATAGGATTGTTTAGGTCAGGTGTGGAGAGAAAGGGTGGTGTTGTTTAGTTCAGTGGTGGAGGGGGGTGGTGGTAATGTTAAGGTCTGTTGTAGAGGGGAGGGCAGGATTGTTTAGGTCAGGGAAGAAGGGGAGAGTGGGATTGTTTAGGTCAGGGGTGGGTGATGTGCACTTTGTTTTTAAGTGCACTTATCCTTTAGAAAGGCTTTACTGTGCTACACACAGATTAGAGTAGGGACATTGTGATTGCTTTAATCCCTTCTCACCATAATCTGTTAATATATACTCTGCATAACTAAAGCTGCCCATACACTATTCGATTTCTAAACGTCACGGATGAATGAATCTCCTGCTACGGCTGTTGTTATTCTGACAGCGGGTGTCCACTGCTGTCACAATACTTGAACAGTGACTGCAGCTAATTGGCTTTGGCCCTGCTGGCTTGACAAAAGTCAATCACTGGCTTGACACACACTGTAAGAATTGCACAAAATTCTAAGAGTGCATGGCCAGCCTAAGAATCTGAAACAAGTCAATTATTGTGCCTTTGCATGTATTTAAATATACATATGTTGGGATATCCCATAGAAAGGTAGATGTCTTATCTATATGAACTAAAATTCTTCTCCTTTTGGTAACGACCGCCAGGGCTCTGAATGCACTGCGCCTTTTTCTTACAATATGTATGGTTTTCATTTCATGTGTGCATGGCGAAAGGGTCATTACTATTTCTATGGTAACTGACTAAACAGGAAATCAGCTAGTATTGATTGCTAAGGCTACAGCTCACCATACATATATCAATCTGAGCGTTAGATAAATGTAGATTCACACTGACAAGGTGCATTGATGCGCATTATTTCCCTCCATTGACATACCATATCCTTTCATTTTAAAAGCTGGACTCTGGAATAAGCAAATATTGCCTAAATATAAGAGAAATGTGTATTCATTTTCTGTATGTCTTCCAGATTTGAGCAATAATCACAGTATGAAACTCGGCCTCTGTGCGGGAGCTTCCTATAATAAAGGTCTTGCCTCTGCCTCCTGTAGTTTTCTGCAGGCAGCAGGTAGAGGGTGCCACTTCTGGGTCCATCCCACAGCACTGCATTCTGTACATGTTATCTGCAGCGCAGTGATGGTGTCACTGCTGCTTTTACAAGGTAATGTGTGGGTTTGCAAAAGCATTTGGTGCACTAAAGGTGGATTTATATTCTCTGCAGCTATTGAGGAAAAAATGTAAATGCATGGAGTTCAGTTATACATCCATGTACTGTATGATTAGATAACCCATAGAAAGGTAGATATTTTTTCTATAATGAACCTCTTTTCCTGCTACTGCTACTGACCACCATGCCTCTGAATGCACATTGTCTTTTCCTTCAGAACAGGAAATCAACCAATATTGATTGCATAGACTAAAGCTGTATGCATACAGTATATCCATCATATACAGTACATGTATTAATCTGATCTTTTCATAAGGGCAGATTCACACTGTGTAGTGTGTTGACGCGCATTATTTCACGCGTTGATATACAAGATCCAGATATTTAAAAAAAGTGACAATAAACTCAGGAGTTAAACCTTAAAAAAAGGAAGGAAGGTATCAGCACCAATTCAAAGATGATCTGAGGATCTTTAGATGAGTGATACACAAATAGCTACATTTAGTGTCACTTTAAAGTGTGTCTTAACCCAAGAACAAAAATTATATAGATTGCAATTTACTAGTCCTCAGATGTGGTGGCTGCACGGGTTATCTTTTATTTGGGCTTTTTTGTTCATTCATCTTCATCTGGTGATCCAGCAGTAACACCCTTCCTGTGTTAAGGTGGCCATACACTGTACAACCATCGCAAGACCTTAGTCTTGCGATGGTTGTAAAGTGATTAAAAAAACGTACGATCTGCCCATCTTGGGCAGGCAGATCGCCCTCTCGATCATCGCAAGCCCGCCCCCCTGAGGGGCGGGCTTCCGATGACCGCAATGCTGAACGGGCAGTCTGTGCGTGCGCACACCGGCCCGTTCGGCAATTGTCTCCCAAGCACCGTTCTAACCAGCCGAAAAACGTACGATTCTCGGCTGGTTTTCTAACATGTTCCTCTGACAAAAGACGTGCGACTGTACAGTAGAAACGGTCGCACGTCTTCGTTCACACTGTTCGATTCTCGTACGATCGTGGGATTTCCCGCGATTCTTGTACGAGAATCGAGCAGTGTATGGGCACCTTTAGGGTGACTATGCTCTCTCACCATACTGTACCTATGGAGGAGCAGTGTAGCCACTCTTGGACAGCAGCATTGTCACCCTGTTAACAGAGCAAGCTGATGGAGGCACCCTTACAGAGGGTGTGGGGCTAGCAGTTTGGATACCACTAGAGAAGGAGATTAAAAAAAAAGAAGAAAAAAAGAAAGTTTTTATAGTAAGTCTTGCCCTCATAAACAAGAAAAGTAAAAAAAAAATAAACTTTAACCATAAGGTTTTTACCATATGGACAAAAGCTGACCATTGTAAAGACCCCCATCAGTGTTAAATGGGTTGTCGTAGCCTTCTAACTGCCACTTTTGCTGCACACTTTGGTCTATTTAAGGAAATTGAAAAATTGCAGACTTACTGGCAAGATCAAACGGTAATAATGTTATGAGCGACTCAGAAAAACAAAAACTGCTGGGCTAATGCTAGTGACAGGTGGTGTCATATATGTCATTTCTGATTTTATGCATAGTTTCACTTCCATAGTTCCATAATAATTGCATTTGCACTTTTTTTTCAATGCATCACACCATAACCCAGAGATGGTTCACATCTGTGCTATAAGGTGCTCTAAAGCGTTGGGCGTTGGGGGTGCCATGAATGATACAGCAGTACAACACAGA